CAACGCCCGAGCGCTCACTGCCGCTCGGCGCTTGCAAGGTGTTCGACAAAATGCCTGCAAGGTATGTATTGCTCAAACGTCATGAATTTGGTGCATGTTGATTCTAGTTTTTATAGTATAGTATTGAACATTGTAGATGAGTTCGTCGTATGATTCTTCCGAAGAAGAATTTGATATGGAAGAGGAGGAGGACCTTGCAATGATCCTAGCTATGCATATCAATAAAAAACCGAACCACGGTGGTTCGGTTATGGGTCGGCAGAAAATTTGGAGGGATATGATCGATGCCCATAACAAATTGATGAGGCACTATTTCGTGGAGAATCCCACATACTCAGAGTCGTACATTCATCGCTGGTTTAGGATGAGCACCGAGTTGTTCAGGCGCATTGCAGAGAAACTAGTGAGCCATGACCGGTTTTTTCAGCAAAGGAGGAATGCCGCCGGAGAGCTCGGGCATAGCACCTTTCAGAAGGTGACAGCCGCTTTGCGTATGTTGGCATACGGTATCTTGGCTAATCTAGTTGATGATCACTTGGCTATGGGTGAGAGTCAAGTCATCATGTGTGTCAAGCTCTTCGCAGTCGGAATTGTGCAAGTGTTTGGCGAGGAGTATTTGAGATCTCCCAATGCTGAAGACACCACAAGGCTATTGGCGACGAACAAAGCTCGTGGCTTTCCTGGCATGCTTGGCTCAATATATTGCATGCATTGGAGTTGGAAGAATTGTCCAAAGGCATGGCATGGGCAATTCCACGGGCAAAAAAAAGATTCCACTATAATCCTTGAAGCGGTGGCCGATCAAGAGACTTGGATTTGACATGCATTCTTTGGAATGCCTGGATCTTTGAATGACATCAATGTTTTCAACCGGTCTCCACTGATGAATAAGATTGCAAATGGTGAGTTGCCACCGGTGCAGTTTGTAGCAAATGGCGGTACATACAACTATGGCTATTATCTAGCGGATGGCATCTATCCAAAGTGTCAAACCTTCGTGAAGCCGTCGAAAAAGCCTGAAGGTAAGAAAAATCTTGATTTTCACAATGCTCAGGCGGCGGCTAGAAAAGATATGGAGAGAGCTTTTGAGATTTCGCAAGCCCAATTTGCTATTGTGAGAGGACCGGCTAGATTTTAGGATCAAAAAATGCTTTGTTACATCATGCACGCTTGTGTGATCATGCACAATATGATCATCGAGAATGAGCATGGCCAAGATTTAGACTACTCACAGTATGAGCTCTTGGGACATCCCGTGCGAGTGCGACGGAGGGCTGAAAGGGTGGCCCGTTTTGTTGCCTCCTATCATGACATTCGGCGTCCCGCAGCGCACAATGATCTTCAGAAGGATCTCATTGAGGAGTGGTGGGCATGGCATGGACGACAAAGAGCATGATTTGTGCGTTCGACATTGCATTGTTCATGAACTATTTATTGTGTTTATTGCACTATTTGTTGTACTGAACGATAAACTATTTGTTTGGGTTGTAATAACGAAATTGAAGTATTTATTGTTGATTTATTTTGTTATAGTTTGATAATTTTTGCTTCTATTTGAAATGCATATATTGTTTGTGCGAGTCGCGCGCCCTGCATTTTTTGCGTGCTGCTGGAGCTGCGCGCGCTGCATTTTAACGCGGCTGCTGGAGTCAGCGCTGCCCGTCACGCCAAACCAGGAGATGGGCGCGCGGCAAAGTAGATTTTAGCGCGCGGCGCGTTCGGCGGCTGTTGGAGATGCTCTTAGGTATGTTTAGCCTACCGTAATTACTAATCATAGTAATCATTAGCCTGGTTAAAGTACAAATAGTCTCAGTGAAGATAGGGGGACAAAAAGAGATGAAAGGGGCCTCCCCCTCCTCCGGCAGACCCGAGGAGACGATGCTGATTCTCCCCGGCATTTCATTTTGTACAATGAAAATATGAAATGAAATCTCTCCTCTCCTTTCTTCTTTCTTTCTTTCTTCTTGTGGCTCCTATGCAAGCTTGTCGTTGATTTGCCCATTGGTACTGCTGCTAACACCTCCAATCCACCCCCACCATTCCCAAGCATTATTCTCCAGCTAGCCTCTCCTCCCACTATATAAGTTGCACCATTGCCACCACTCTTGTTGCATACAAACACAAGCCAAGCCAAGCCCGGTGATCTAGCAACCGTAGTAGCACTAGTAATAGCAGCAGTAACAGTAGTCATTGCAATCCACCTTAGTTTTCTTTCCTGTTGAGAAGCCACAGCCCAGTCAAGCATGAGTTCATCGTGGACATTCAAGCAGAACAAGGTGTTCGAGGTGGCGCTAAACAAGTACGACAGGGACGCGCCGGACTTCTTCCAGAACGTGGCGCGGGAAGTTGGCGACGGCAAGTCGGTGGAGGATGTGAAGAAGCACCTTGCAGAGCTGGTAAAAGACGTGGACGAGATTCATACAAACGGTGCCGGCGGCAGCAGCAACAACAACCAAGGCGGTTCCAGCCGCGGTGGCAGCAGCGACGGGCAGAGGTAGTAAGTAGTCTGTCCGAAACTCATACTAGTTCTGGACTGTTCCATCCATGCACATGCATCATCACATAAGTGGCCAGCCTCTACTACTCATGTGGTGTGTGCAAAGGGAAAGGGCGGTGTTCCTTTCGGCCGGCCTGGCTAGCTTTCTCTGTGCAGTCACTTGCACTGGATGCTTTATATTCCTTCCATACATGGATTTCCCTCTACTAATATGCATGGTTTCTTGCTGCTCCCTTGGGCATGGACTTCTCTGTTCCCTTCTTACTCTGCATGTCTTGCAAATGCTATACTATTTGGTTATCTCTTGAATCTTGACTGAATTTTGTTTGTAATTTATGTGGTCTTGCAAATGTAGTAGCATTGGCTTCTTTTCCATTCTTGAGAGGCAAATTTTAGCATGACTAATCCATGCATGAACATATTTTTGTTCATTCATTTCACTGAGCGTAGCCAACCATGCGCTTTGCTTTTTCACTTACGTATCATTGCGGTGATGTCACTTACACTTCAACACTTCTATGTTCAGGAGATCAAGTTTTATAGTAATCCTAGTTGTAAGCTAATTACTACAGCAAAACATGGCATGCCTGCTTAATTAATTGCAAGCTAAACAGATCTCCATGTTCCATTTTACTTATAGGATGAACTACCTGATTAAAATCATATAGTACATGCTCGTACGTGCTAGCATTTGCTTTGTCTGAACAGTATGATCTTCTTTTCGCGATATCATTGTGTTATCGTCCTTGGAGCTTGTTTTGTCTAAGCTAAGCATGAACTGCTCATTCAAACCTTGAGGTGTATTTCTAGGAGCCCTCTCCGATAAATATTAGCCAATCTGGTTAAACCTTTAGTGAGAGTAACTTGCTTGGATCATCAATTTTAATTGAAATTCAGTCAAACTGGTCATAAACAAAATCATTGGTTTCTGAAATCAACATGCAGAATACCTAGGTCTTAGATTTTTTTGACGTTTTATCATCTTTTGTTTTGTGATATCTCTGAGGTTTATCCAACAATGATTCAGTCATGTACCTTAAATATTAACAAGATAATTTTTGTTCGCCGATGACCTGATCGCACTTTGTGCCGCCGAGGAAAAAAAAATCAAAATGGTGTTGCTCGTGATGTTCCATGTATGTTATTGGTCATATACACAGGCGCAGTTGTACTATAGTTAACTGCTGTCAGGTTTATCGCAGTTAATTTCAGTCGGCTCCTCAGGTAAACACAGAGTTGATTTTATGGATTTACCAGTAAAACCTATAAAAACGGTGAAGAAGGACAGCATTAGAATATATCCTACACTCCATCTGATAACTAACCTCAAAAGCAGCGCGTCTTTGTTAGGGTTCTAGGCTTTATGTTTTAACCACAGCATACCCTTAATTGGCAAAAAAGAAAGCGCAAACGGGATGCTAATTTGTCCGGGATACCAGAAAAGTGTAGTAAGCAGGTAGCTAGAGAATGCTTTTGCTCAAGATTTGCACATAAAGCTTGTTGTCCTTTCGACGGGCATAAAGTGCTGTCCCTCCTTTTAACAGTTGACGTTTTGTTCTCTCCTTTCGCATATGAACGTACCCGGACAAATTCCAATCTTAGGTTTCTTCCTCTTGCCCCACTAGCTAGACTAGAATAGATCCGCTCTATATGTTATTTCCAAATTAATGTTCTTGACTGGAAAAGACCTTTGTTTCTGTCGGCATCTCTCTCTCCCCCTGCCTTTACAGGGAACATTCAGACTTGTTATACTGTGAGCCAAGCATTTCTATTTCGTTTGTGGATTTCAGTTTCAGTCATTAAATCCATGCCTATGAACCTAGACTAACCCTCAGTTTATTCTCCCCTTTTTCCAGGCCATGGTACCTCAAGACCCAGTGATGGCTGGTCTGGTGCAAGAAGGGCCGAAACAGCCCTCGAGCACAGCTAGCCTCCTCCCTTTCCAGCATGAAACCACCAGTACTACACTACAGATACACATGACCCCATGGTGATGGTGATCCGGTCATGTACCTAAAGTTGCTATAGCTAGCGCTTCCTCTCCGATGATGATGGCGACGACGACGAGAAAAAAAGTCCGGGACGTAATCAAGCCCCGCATCGGAGTTGTATCTTTCGTATATCTTGTACCCAATTGTGCCTACGTGTATATGACCCACCACGAGCCCTGTCCCCAGCTATATGGGTGTAGCGCTGGTACCGCCGGAGGTTATCTCGGACGCGACGGTGTATCTTGATGTAGTGGTCTGTCTCCCTGTCGAATCTGTTACCTGACATATATTGCCTAATGGAAATTCCGGTCTACGGATTATTTATCTGTTTTGCTAAAAAAAAATCTAGATGTGCTTTAGGTATTGCATATTTAAGTCCAATGTCATTGATTCTACGTAAAGATTTATGTGAGTATTTTTAATTTAACCTTTTTCTTTTTATGTCTGATTGAGCCTTGCAAAGAGAGCCTTGGCTCAATAGTTGGTTTGCAATTGTGCAGCCTAACGACCCGAGTTCAATTCCTAGAATTGCCAGGTGATGCACACGAGTTTTCCTCGTTTATTGAGGATCAAGTTTGATGTGTGGTGGAACCACGTATCAAGATATATCTTGATACTTATTTTAAAAAAATTCTGAGGACCATGTTTATCTTGGTACTCATACTAAAATGGTCGTATGCATCCCTAGTTGGTGCAGAGGCTGGGAAGTGAAATTCTCTCCCATTTTTAAGAAATTGTGCATGCCCGTGAAGGCGACCCTGCAGGCGACGCCGCCTCGGGCGGCCTCATCCGCCATGGATCGGCGCGTTGGGCGAAGATTTTGGGCGCTGTCGGACGGCATCGAAGACTCAGAAGGCGAGGCCGGTCACTCGGACGGGGAGGAGCCGCCGGCGGGCTCCCCGACGCCGTCAGACGCGGTCTGTGAAGCGTTGAGAGTGGGCTATGACGAGCACGAGGTCACGCTACTCGTCGATCTGTCGGTCTCGCGCGATGATCCAGCGAGATCGGGATTGAAGGAGGAGGACATCTTCGAGATTGTGCGCCGCATCGTTCATCGTCCTACGGCGGCTTCGGCAATCCGGCCATGGCGAGGTCCTCTTCCAAAGGTGAGTCTCCCGAAGCCCACCCTTTCCGATTTTTTTGAAGCGGGTGCGTGAAAACTTGTTCAGAGAAAGAAAAAGAAACGGGCGGCGGTGGCGGAGATGCCGGAGCCGGTGACCAGCCGGCTGGCTGAGATCCGGAACGCGCGGATCGAGCGTTTGAAAATTTTGGTTGGTGCAGCTGGGCCCGAGGATGTGACTTCGGCCCGGTCTGCGAAGGTGCTTTCGGCCCAATCTAGACCGAACCAGTGTGGGCTGGGGATAGCTGGGTATGAGGCCCAGGCTATCCCGGATGCCACATTGGTACTGGACGGTGGCCCATGCATGGTTTTGATCGAGGATCGGTCCCACATCATCCTATCGCCGCCTCCTAGGGTTCGGCATCGCCGTGGAGTTCCTGGCTTCGTTGTGTGCGGACCCTGGACGAGCGCGCCACATCTTTCCTCTTGAAGCCATGGCGGGTCGGGGGAGTGCTCCTCCCGCTGGTCAGAAGGGGTCGGTCATCGCCGGGGCGGCGCCGTCCGGGCGTGGTCGGGGTGGTGCTGCTCCTGTGGCTCAACACATCGAGCAGGTGTTAGGGCAGAAGGCACCGGTGGTCGCAGGGATTGCGCCGGCTAGGCATGGTGGTGCTGCTCCACCGGTTCAGAGGCCCAAGGTGGTCACTGGGACGGCACAAGGTACCGGCTCGGTAGGGCGTGGCGGTGGTTCCGGTCCTAGGCCGCTGGCGCCCGGACCGGTCGCGCTGGCACCCACTAGTGCTGTGGCGGGGCGCGGTAGTGGTCTTCGGCCTCCACAGCCCGATGTGGTCGCTGCTGCTCCTCGCAATGGGCAGCAGCCACGGGCGGCACCTGAGCAGCAGCCGCGAGCAGCACCGCCACCCCACTACGTGGCTCGGCCGCCCAGCATCGGGCCTTGCCGGTTCAAACTCATGTATCGCCTCAAGATGCTGCAGATGTTGATCGTATACCGGTGAACCGAGGTGGTTTTGAACAACCCCGGGGACAATGGGGTGACGATGGCTACAGTGCCTATGGGGATGGCCATCATTGTGGCTCATCGGCGGCGGGCACGGATATGCATGGCAAAGTGATGGCTCAGCTGAAAGACCGTTGTACGGCCCTACGGGTGGTTTTGTTGAGGGGGGATCTGGCCCAAATTACTGGCAGTGAGGTGGCTACCAAGGACATCGTGGTGGTCGCGGTGGTAGGAACCGTTACCGCCAACCTCCTCCACCTGTGGTCGCGGAGCTGACGGCTGAGGTGGTTGCTACCGGTCAGATGATGGATGTGTCTTGGCAGGCTATGGAGGTGGTTACGGCACTGACCACTGCTGTGGTACCTGAGACTGAGATCTTAGTGTCGGATGTTGTTGGTACTGCCGATAAGACATATGCGGATAGAGCCTCCAAGTGGGCCCGTAAGAAGGGGAAGATGTTGTGCTATCGCTGTGGTGAGAGGGACCACTTTATTGCGGAATGTGTAACTGAACTTTGTGATACCTGCCTCAAGCCAGCGCATGACACGGGGGAGTGCCCTATTCTGCGGGATCAGATGCCGAGTATCACCATCTACGGAGTGTATTATGCTGAGCTGATGTTTTTTGAGTCTCCTAGTGAGAGGGAGATACCCGATGAACCCAGAGCACAACTACAGGGATTGTCAAAGTTACTAAGAGTGATGTGTCTGAGGCGCAAATTATGCACAGGCTCACTGAGTTAGTTCCAGGTAACTTTGAGTGGGAGCTCACTCGTCTCGAGGCCAACTCTAATAAGGTTGATTTTCCTACTTCGGAGGACTTGGAGCATATGTTGAGTTTTGGGTTATGCAGAGTACCTGGCACTGAGTGCATCCTCGAGTTCCATGAGTGGAAGCGAGTTGAGCCGCAAGGCAAACCTCTCACCCAGGTCTGGT